GAAAGATTTTGTTACCCTTTGTTGTACCACATGAAAGAAAAATCAGTGAAGCAACAAAATGTGGTCATAGTCTCTGCTGATTAGTTGCAGCAGATGTCTGTTACGTTAGTGGCACTTTCTGTCCTCATCCAGATCTGTGGTCTGGCTGGGTGGGGGAAAACCCCGCTTTCCTCCACTCACCCAGACCTTACATAGGGATTTCCTCATGTGTTACAAACATGGAAGTGGGAACCCCAGTTTAATCCCCTGCAGGGGTTCTCCTGCTCCATGTCACAGGGGACGCATCTGCAAATGGGGGTTTTTCCCCCCTTGCAGATGCACCCTAAGTCGGGGCATGGCAACCAGGGATGTCTGTAGATATTCGTGGAGTGCAATCACCTGTGCTGTGACATGTCACAGCACAGCTGATCATACTTCACTGGCAACATCTGTTTTTAGCCTTGGTGTTCACAGACTTCAAACCACAATATCCAGTATTCATGGTCCAGCTGTCTTCAAGATCCAAATTCTGATATTATTTGAACCCAGGTGTCATCAGCTCAATTCCTATATCAACCTTAGTGACTTATTAAAATTCCTTACAACTGCCCATGAGGGCTCCTCAGAGCCTTGAAAAAAGATGAGCTCCAGAATCAGCATTTGCACTAGTTTAATGGACTCCAGAACCATCATCAATTGCTTTATAAACAGAGCCCCTGCACTCCAGGTTTCTCAGAGACTTTTTTTAATACCGTAATTTTTCTCATGGTAGGCTTGTTTGTTTGCTCTGTCTTTTGTACCCATCACATATGTTTTGATATGTTCTGCTAGTATAATAGCAACCCTCCAGACTGGAAATTAATACATTTAAAAGGGCATTTCATTTGAATTGCTGTGTGAGGGAGTTAATAAAACTTGTATTAAAATTTTAAGTCTTTTATACATTTTAAATAAATCCTGTATCCGGGACAAAGCACAAGAGGAGGAATCAAACCATCTTATTGTGGCTTGGCTGTCTTAATATTTAGGTTTAATTTGCAATAATGAATGTCTTTTATGCAAAACTTCTCATTAGATACAATGGAAAAGGGGAATGCAGTGACAGGAACTAAAAGATGCATAAGCCTCTTCAAATGTTTACGAGTTTGAATCATTAGTCAGTCAGTAAGGGCTTGATCATCCTGCGCTGTGGGAGTTTTTCCGTTGACTTGAATGGGAATGGGATCAATTTCTAAGTGGTCATATACGTAAGGCTTCGGAGCTGGCTTTGCATTAGCTCCCTTTGGAGTAAACAATGAATTATGTCTAATGAAGCTTGATGTTAGGGTTTGGAGTCAACAAAGCATTTAAGCATAATTTATATCAGTTAATAAGCACTGTGTATAAATAAGCACATGCGTAAGTCACTGGGTCGGTGCCCAAACCTACTAGGTGTTGAGCAGTTTCAACTCCTGTTGACATTACTGGGATTATGGGGGCTCATTATTACCAGGAATTGTTCCAACCCCCTACAAAACAAGGCTCAAACTTCAGGGGCAGGTCAGATTGCTTTCTGCTTGAAAGCAGATATTTGTTCAAGTCTCCTTGAGACTTGTCTATGCCCTGGTGGCAGTAAGTTGTGGGCAAGCTGGGCCTAAGGGACATCCCATCTACCTGTGCCTCCAGCTGCTCTCCAAACCTGGCATTTTACTAGCAAGGCCACTGTCAAGCTCTTGGAGTCTGAAGATGGCCTCTGAGGGTGAGTCTGGAGAAACTTTGAAAGCACATTTCCTGGTTTGGAGCAGGCCTGGAGCTAAGTGGGAGGGCATGCTCCAGCACATCCAGGCTGAGAGAGACTCTGATGTAGTGTAGTCAAGCCCTGAGTCGTGTACAACCACTCTCAGAAGGGCTCCCATCACTTCTTAAGGCTCCAGAGGTTTGGTTAGTTCGGTATTTTGAACTTGTCTCTTCTGATCCATCTTAAGATTCACCCCTTTATAGAAAGATAAAGCAGCACAAAAAATTCAAGGGAGGCCCTCCCCCTGTACCTGTATCCCAGTTACGTTGGGTGTGAGGCTGTCAGATTTCACAAGCGGAGCAGGACCTGGTTAGGGTAAAGTACATATGGGAGGCCCCAAAGGAATATCTGTGGGGTACAGAAGCTGATTGTGGTGATTTTTCTTCTGTATACCCCAGGATTAAGCTTCAAATAGTATGCGTATGTGAGATGTATAGCATTTGTTGTCATTAAAGGATCTATGGCAGACTTTTCCCAAAGTTTCTGGGCCAGATTCCATTTGATTAATGACGGTCTGCTTGCCTAAATTCCCCCGGCTGTTTCATTTTGGTAAGTGATGCACCACCTCTGTCAAACAGTTGTGCCATCTTGTGTTGGCCTGTAAAACAGCTGCTGCCGCATTCTGCTCCGTTCCATTTCATTAGTGCGTCGAGTGATGTATTTGTGTAGTTTGTCTATCAATTTGTTACATTTACTAAGCAATTTGGGAAGAAAGATGGCCTGTATGCAATGGGACCCAATTTACAGAGAAAGTTCGAGTTACACAACTTATGCACACACTTCCTACTAAATGTTTCTTAACTGTATTCTGAAAATGAAAGTATATCTGTTCATGTAGGGGAGGGATCTGCAGCCATTTGAGCAGCAAGTTGGGCACTTGTGATTCCCCCCTACCCCCACAATTTCCAATTCCGTGCTGCTCTGATTCCTTCCCTTCTCTGTGTAGAAACAGTCATTGTGGGGTTTTTTGGGGTTTGAGTTTTTTGGGGGGAAGGGGCGTTGCCATTATAAACATTTTCAGCTGATTGGCTGCCTCAGCTGTAGGACCTCATACCACACTGGAAAGGGCACAGAATAGGAAGCTGTAAGGTGGCCCCTTTAAAGCACTGCTTTAATTCTGCAAGCAGCCTGGCAGAGTGATGCTCATCCACTTCATTTGGCAACATTGATTTTTAGCCTCTGTTTCCCCCGTACTATACCAGGTGCCACTGAAAACCATGGAAAATGCCAACAGGGAACAGCAAATTTGACCGTGAGGGTACAGAACAGGAAGCTTTAAGGTGGCCCCTTTAAATCCCATTTTAAGTTCCTTTTAAATCACCGTGTTATCACGGCTTCTTTAAACCAGCATTCCCCATACCCACCACTGAATCAGACTTTCATGAGCCAGATCCAAGCTCTTCACGGGCCAGATCCAACCCACAGGCCCTAAATTGCTGACCCCTGATGGAGTTAATGTCTCTTTATGGCATGCTTATCAGCATGATATTTGATTGGCTAGTATGTGTTTTCCATAATAATTGGCTATTTAGGTAAAAAGTGAAGATTAGCAGGAAGGAGGTGATTAGCAGAGGGGAAGATTAACCCCTTCATTTAGAGCAATATCAAAGTGATTGGCTAAAGAAAGAAGGCATCTGATGCTAAGACGCTCTTCATCACACATAGTGAATCCTAGAAAAAGAAGAAAGAAATCATTGGCTGAAACTGAGGAACTTAAAAACAGTGATTTCATTTTGCTTATACGGATATGCACAGGCTATCATTTAATTAGCAAACTGAAATAATAGATTTCATGGCCATGGTTCCACTCACAAAGGTTTTTTAGGGGATGAGTAGATGTAATGAATCTTCACATAATATATAATAAATATTGGATTCTAAAGTACTTACTGGTGTTTGAGAATTTATAGCCGTTGATCAATCATTCATTAAATATTCCCATGAATCATGAGCTTATAACGTTGTAGGAGCAGAACCTCAGTATAAAGGACCAACTTTGGGCAGAAGCAAATCATGAAACAAATCAAACAACTTGTTTTCCTAAACAAATTCCTTATAAATAATGCCTCTAGCTAACATGCAGACACTCATTTTTAAAGTAACAATCTCAGTTATAGTGCCTGTGATATTCAGGGCTTGATTCTCCACTAGTGCCCACTCATGCGTCTTAGAACGGTGGGATTTTACGTATGTTTTGCACCAGGGTAAATAAGTATAAAAGGGCAGCCTAATAGAGAACTGAAGTCTGTGTGTGCATTGACATAAATGTATCTAGTCTTTATTGGCTGTTTCTAATTAGCTTGATTTAATTCTGACCAAAATCAAGAACTTCATTTGATCCTGAAAATATTCAAAAGTAGCCTGGACTTGATGGGAAATTGTTCCTAACATTTTCTGTCATCTTCAAAAATTCTTCTCAGGGTGGGATTTTTCATGGTGAGACAGAATTGGATGTAAAATTTGTGCATTGCCCAGTTTCGGAAGTGGCATAGCAGCCTAGAAACCTCAGTCCCATTGACCTTCATTGAGTGACTTTTAAAAACCGGACTTGGGAGACTCAAAGTCACTTAAGTGCCTTTTAAAACATCCTGGGAATGTTACGTTCCCATTAGAAAAATTCCCTAATTGTTTATATTCATAAAGAACTAAAATGCAGGGATGCGACACACGGTTGCAACTCCTGGTTATTTTATCATGCTTCTGTCAGGTCATAAATACAAAAGTATGCCTCTTCCTGAGCACGGGAAGGGTATATAGTATACCATCAGCCCTGTGTTCCCTGGAGATGTGGTGCCCTTGTAAAGCGTAACAGGCTGTATGCAGGGAAACAGAATCATCCATTTGAATATCTCATCTGCGCCTGGTGTTCAAGAGTTGGGCGCTTCTCTGCAACCCCTCACCTACTGGATAGAGCCATCCTTGCCTTCTAGAGCACCTGAACTAGGATATTGCTGTGGCAGCTTCTTCACTCTCTGCTGGGGCAGCTGGTTTGGCTGGCCCCAGTCCACCTCTCTGAGAAATGTAGCATCCTCTGTAATCATGCAGATTTGATATATGTTTTATTTTATGCACACTGGCCCTAGGTTCTTTCACCTCTTCAACCTCCGTCTACTCAAGGCTTTCCAGGAGAGAAGCTTTAGTTTTCTGAGTCCCAGAAATTATCTGTTTCTTTGTAGCTTTCCAATCCAGTGACCTCTTTCTATTGTACTGTCTTTGTCTAAATGTCTTCCTGCTCTCCCTGCAGGCTATATGTGGACGGTCCTTTTGGGAGCCCCTCAGAAGAATCCTTGAATTACGAGGTTAGCCTCTGTGTGGCTGGAGGCATTGGAGTTACTCCATTCGCATCGGTACTCAACACACTGCTGTATGTGAACTTACCCTGTCTAAAGCCATTTTCCCAGAGTTGCTTCACTGTAAATGATCTCACTGCATACGTAACACCTGTTAATATAGAAACTCTGCTCCTGTTAAGAGAAGAAAGAGGAAAAGGATTGAGACCTGCCACTGAAAGTCCCAAATCAGTTTGTGCAGGCTGGAAGTGCAATGCAAGAAAAGTACATTATGTGGGGCAGTGGCATATCATGGAGACTAGCCTTACACACACACACACACACACACACTTGTGTGAAGTTGGCTTCAGCCAATGTCATTTGACTCTGATTGAATGCTTCAATTTCGATTTTTAAAGTAATGTATGAAAATCAGGTGCACAACCTCCCCCTAATTTAAGCAGGACTTTGGGTGTTTAGCTATTTTAGGTCTCATTGAAAATCCAAACTTAAATTCCCCCTTTGTTTTCATTTAAAATTCCATATTATTTTGGTCAAAGTCACGAGGGCTTCAAGCTTTTACCAAATCCAAGGCTTTCAGAAAGAAAGACGCCTTTGTTCTTATTATTTATTATTTGTATTGCTGTAGGGCAGAGACTTCCAAGCGTACACCAGGGCTCCAGCATATTAGGTGGTGTACAAACACAGACCAGAAAGGCAGATCTTCCCTCCAAGCCTGCAACCTAACTACGCTTTAAAAATATTTTGCACTACCCATGGGAAGCACTTGATCAGAGATCTGCCAATAGCTGACCCTCTGCCTGGACTGAAATTAAAACTTTTAGTCTGCGTTTTTATGTTTGGATGCTGCACACAGTCAGCTCATGCTAATCTCATTTGGAGCCGTAAGTGCTCAGTGCTTCTGAAATCAAGCCCGTATTTGTCATCTTCATGTACCTTATGCCATCCTGAAAGAAGGTAACAGACTCCCAAATAATTCACTTTTCTGAAAGGACATTGATCATTTTTCAAACAGGGAATACTGTTATCTGAAATGCATTTACGTTTCTGCCAAAAGACTGGTGTCCAGATGAATAACCTGGCTGTTTTCTCCATGACAGATTATCCCTGACAGCATTAAGCAGAAACGTCACATATCATAGCCACTAGCCAACAGGAGGTAGTGAGATGGCTGTTTCTATCGGCGGATTATTAGAGGCTGTATGGTGTTTGCCCAGACATTGCCACAGCAGTTTAGTGTCTAATGAATGTTTTCTGTATCGGATAAATGGGTTGCTTCCAAACACTGAATTCCAATAGTCTGCTGTTACAGAGCATCTTGCTGTTGCGCATCCTAATATTAAGCAAGGAACAATGGCACTTTCCTTATACTTTACTGTTAATATTTAATGACATCAACAACAGAATGACTGACTGTATAATAGATAGGTAGGCTGCCTCTTATCTTAAGTCTCATCAACAACTGAGGTTGGCACAGATGAAAATGCAAACTGTCCGATAATGCCAGCTAAGGAAGATGACAAAACAAAACCCTTCTTGTCAGAGATATGTGGCTGTTGGGGGATGTGAGGATCTCCATTTGGGCCAGGAGTCTTGTATGTTCCTGTTAAGCTTTGTCCCTTGGGTTTACTTTTATATAATACAGGCAGCAATGGCTCACACCAGCTTCTTGCCCTCTGTAGAACTGAATGTTACCTGTTTGTTTTTTAAATGTGATTTATAATAAAGAATTTCAGGCAAAGTAACATATAATGTATTACTATTAATTGGCAGTAGCAGCAATGGTCAAGGCCTACTCAGTGCATGCTTTTGGCTGTACCAAGAAACTATATATTTATCACATCACATAAGCTACTGTAGGCAGATGTGACAATTCAGGTTTGACATTCCATACAGTTGATCTGCATGCATGTTGCAGGCAAGAAAGTACTGGAGATCAGCCTCAGATTTGACTTAGATGGTGTCCACTTCAGCAGTTTGCTCACAGAGGGTATTGTTGTATTCCTCAACCCAGATGCATACAACTACAGATGGCCTTCAACAAACGATCATGTAATCTTAGATTTTTTATGATGAGAAGTATTTAGGCCGTTCACATAGTGCCCCACTGCACAAACAGGGTGGACGAGACCATACGAGACTCATGGCTACTCCAACTTTAGAGTGTTGTAGATGTGTCCCTGTTGTCTATACAACAGATTTGTCCTGTGTTGGCCCATCCCTTGCTTCTTGGGGGTTTACATTGGAATAATACAACAAAGTCTGGAGGTCTGCACTGCAGATCTGATGCTGCCTGTGGGTCTTACATGTTGACAGTCATTTAGGGGGAGGAAGAAATAGTCCTTCCACCATACAGCCATTTTACTGGTCAGGAAGAAACAAAAACTTAAATAATAACTATGTCTGATATGATAAAAAAACATGCTGAGATAAACATACTATTTCTAAAGCATTGGTTGGCTGCTTGTTAAGAATTTAATGTTTAATCCTATCATTTTAGACTGATTTGGGCATTTCAGCATGCAATCCTTCTTAGGGAGAAAAATAACTTCCCTTAACAGTTGGCTTGTCATGGAAATTAACTTTTGTACTAATGATTATAGAGCATCTTAATTAACATTTGCTTTTTAAATGGTAATTTTTTTAATTCCCCAAACGTATCATTTTCATTTTAAAGTGATGACTGGAAATGCTACAAGCTCAGAAGACTCTATTTTATTTGGGTGTGCAGGGACATCCAGGCTTTTTGCTGGTTTGCCAACTTGCTCTGTGTGTTGCACAACAAGGTAAGAGATAATTGCTCTCGGGGTTGGTTCTGAGATAATGTTGACATCTTAATAAATACAGTCCTGCACAAATAGTTATATTAGTAAGAAAATTGTTTTGAATAATCATAACCAGATTTCACGAGGAACTTGCCACACTACATGGAAAATAGGCAGCAAAGTGGATGAAATCTATTATTGACATACATGAATGCACTGGTCTCATGGGACAGGACAGGGTGAAATTCTTACCCCTTGAAGCCTGTAGAAGTTTTGCCATTGCCTTCTGTGGAGCCAGGATTTTGTCTGTTGGTGTTTTGTTTTTTCTCAAAATACAAACACATTTGCAAAATCAGGACCTGACAAGTTTTCAAGGACCCAGCCTCTCTAAATTTTTCAAGAAGTTGTCTAGGAGAGAAGCATACCTTTTGGGTAGAGTGAAATTATAGCTCGTCTGGTAAACAGGGGGATGAGGATTTATGTTAGCTGGAAAACACCTCTGGTTTTCTAAACAGACCAGGTTTCTACCTAGTTTTGAAGGCTGCCTAATTAGGGCTTTCCAGTTGATGGCCCACAAGCCACATGCAGCCCGTGGGTTCCTGGTCTGGGTGTTGCTCCTTCCTTAGCTGCAGCTGCTGCACTCTGAGTACCTAGACTCCCCTTCCTCCAACTTCCACTTCTTGCCCCTGCCCCTGGGTATGGGGTGACATGGCCCAGCCCCTGGGGCTGTTGGAGCTCAGCAGTGTGGATTCAGGTGGACCTGGGGACCCCATGCAGTGCAGGAGCACTGGTATAGTGTAGCAGGAGCTGCCTAGCGGAGTGCAGAACATTTAGTGCAGCTCAGAGAAGTGTTAATACAATGACATGAGAGGCGCCCAGCGCATGGTACATCAGGGTGCCGTGCAGTGCATTGGCGTGCAGCCCATGCTGCGTGTGGCCATGGAGGTAGGACTGCAGCAGCGAAAACAGGCAAAGTCGCTGATTGATGACTAGACCCGTATCAGCCCTCACTCTTCCTCCAACCACCAGTCGCCATGTTCACTGAGGTTCCTAGATTCTTCATCAGACCACTCCTCCCCAGATAAAACAGGACCTGTGCTTGATGCCCCTAGCATACAGCATTCAGAGATGCTTCTCAGTGAAAGGGTAGTATACAAATGTCCTGTTTCATTAAAGTTCCCATTCTGCCATGTAGATCAAGCTTCTTCAGGGTACTGTAAAAGACTGACTTCACTCTTTCATATAAATAGTGATATATTAATTCACTTGATGTTTTATCGTCCTTCCAGCTTTGGCAGGAAAACCGACCAGACTTCATAAACATCCAGCTGTACCTCAGTCAAACAGATGGCATACAGGTATGTGGCTAAATACTGTTTGTAAACCAAACTAGACCTTGAAGTAGAAGACACTGCAAACTGTCAGTTGAGTACACAAGGGAATTACCCACAGATGGTTTAGAAAGGGGGGAAAAGGTCATATCTCTAGCAGCTAAGTCTGTCTAGAACAAACTCAACCCTTCCAAGCCAAGACAATGAAGTCAGGTAGCATTAAGATGATTATCACTGGGCAGAAATCCCTATCTCCTTCTTGTAGGAAAGGGGGCCTTCCAGGCCAGGCCACAGACCAGACTGTTGGCAGGACTTTATAGGAAATTTACATCATTCCTGGGCTAAAAATCAAACTGGAATAATTCAAGGATTTTGTAAGCCCCAGACTGAAAAACAAGTACATTGAGAAAAACAGGGATTTTTTTTTTAAGTAGTGGGTTGTTTTATTGTTTTGCGTTTTGTCTTGAATGTCAGAAGTCAAACTATTTTAAGCGTGCAACCAGAAAATGTATTAAACTGTTGTTTATCATAGGCTGCATTATGCTAGTCTAGACAGGTGGATTGATTCCCTGTTAGCTGGAATTTTCTGTAATCTCATAATGTGGTAAACTGGGAGTCAGCATTCACTCACACTCATTCATCACATGGGTAAGGGTCTGACTCTTCAGCCTGAAGTCAGTGGGCGCTTTGCTGTTGACTTCAGCGGAGACCAAAAATTTAATGCAAAGGGGGAAGGAAGTGGAGGGTTGGGTTTGGGGGGAGACAGGATAAAGTCTACCAGGTTGATGAGACTTACTGCAGTGTATGTAGCTTCTTGGTAAGAGAAATTGTGATTCTGAGTAGTATGAGACTATTCAGCTCTGGGCCCCTTAAAATAGCTAGGTTGGATAACAGAGCAGGCACAGAGTTACTCTGAAGTACCTGATTGGTCTTAACTGAGAGGTCAGAATTTACTGGACCCATCGTGGAAACAGTTATAAAGACATGCAGCTTAGGACCATTGCTCTGATCATGGGCCCAGTAGTTACTGAGTTTCCATTAGAACCATTTTTTCTGTGTATCTGCTTGTTAGAGAAAGCAGTCAATTATAAAATGATAAACTGCAGGGCAGAATTGTGTCTTCTGTAGCAGTAGAAAAAATTTAGATTCCGTGGTGTTACTCCTGAAGTCTCCTGATAAAACTGGATGTGGCTTTTTTTTCTATTCCCCTGTGACTTGTGACACTGATGCTTATCCAGAGTTATTCTTGAATGCTACACCATCAGAATAGCATTGTGTTTTACCTTGTTTTGTTTCAGTATGATCTAGGTTCAAGGCAGCAGACAGTCAAGCCCATTTTTCATCAAGTACTTTCACCTATAGTAAAAATCAATGAAAGTGGCAGAAAATGGGCTTTGCTACTAGTGTAATGGATATTTTAAGTCATTTTGTTATGGGGAGAATGTGGAAAGTTAGACCAGATATCATTCTGTTCCGTCCCAGTTTTGTAGTTGGACATTAGGACATGGATATGCAGTGCCATACAGTGAAAACACATTTGGCTTCATAAAATTGTCTGGACTTTTAGTGAATTGAAAATGCTGGAAATATGTTGGGTTCAGTCCAGGTCCTTAGCTTTGGTGGCTTTATGTTGCTGAGACAGCTCAAAACATCTGGTAAACTATCCTCAAGGGGTAACTTTTACAGTTCTAGTAATCTTAAGGGTTACTTTACCAATAGTAGGCAAAAAAAAAAAATATCTTCAGACAGAAATATGTTTCTTGCATCAGCAACATCCCTTTAAAGTTAGCAGCAACAACAGATTAGGGAATACAAATTCATTTCTTGCTTTGTGTATTAAATACATTGGTTTAAAAATAATGGTGAGTCTAACGAGCAGCTGTATAAAGAACAGCATCTAATGCTGAAGAGGGCCACTGAAAGGCAGGGAGAGAAGGTATTGATGCATAAAATGACTGCATTTTAAGACATGCTGTTTGATACTGTGTTCAGTTTTTACATTTCAGTGATTTGATAAGTCAGCCAGGGCATTTACCAGCATGGTGATGAGACCTCGGAGTGATGCATAGCAATTTAAAAAGCAGGCAATACAGAACTTATTGTTTCTCATAGAAAATAATTGGTGAAAAATATCAAGCCCTGAATTCAAGGCTTTTGACTGGACGACCTTGTTGGAAACTCCTTTTTGATGAAATAGCCAAGTGTAACAGACAGTAAGTATTAGTCTTGATGGGAATAACTACACTTGGAGGGATGGGGATTTCTTGTGTGTTTATTAAATAAATGTATTTGTATGGAAATGACTTTGTGTTTTATCTTTGCATGTAATATTGATATTGTCTAATCCATAGCAACTGAGACACATTGTAAAAAGAAAAATTGGTGTCAGTTTGCACAGTCAAAGCAGTTCATCTTCTCATGCAGCAAAAATGTTCAATGGCCCAAGAAATAAAAACAATGCATTTCCATATCACTGCAAGATATTAATCCAGTGCTACAACCAGTGTCTTGCTAGCAACATATGCCAGTTTCATGTTGAAAGATGTAGTTCATATATCTGTGCCTTCTGCATTTACTTTCATGATTTATAGTTTTAAATAATAGAAATGCAAGAGCAAGAGCTTGCCTGCGTGTGAAGTTTTGTGTTTTATTCAGAAGATCTGTTGTCTTTGGGGATTACTAGGATTGTTGATTATTTTTTAAAGGCTGGCAATGTAATAAGAACTGTACTAGGCAAATTGGTTACAGTCTAAATAAGACAGACAAGGCACACAATTCTCTACTCTCATTTTTGGATGATTCATTTAATGCTTTTGGTAAGCGTTGATAAACTAGTCTTATTGCTGATGTGCGTACTGAAGGCCAGATCCTGAGGAATACTAAGCTGAAACAAATCTCATTGATCTTAATATGAACTATTGGTGAAATGAGGTCTCTTGGGTTCCGGCTGCAAGATCTTATCAGTTTCTTGTGGTGCTAATCTTTACATCCCCCCAGCACAGCACAGTGCCTTGATCTCTCGTTAGGGAACTAGTATCACTGCTAAAGCCAAGCAGTATTACCTGGGCTCTATGTAGATGTGCTCGCTGTTGTAGGGAAGGTTATAAGGGCATAGAAAAAGAGATCAGGTAGGAAGTTGACCCGAGTTGCCCTTCTTAGGCCTCCTTCATTAACCCTTCACCTGTCATTCTCATTTTCTTTTTTTTAGTCTTATGGCCAAACTGGTGGCTCTTCTGCTGCCTCCCTTGAGTGACTATTATGGAGGCAAATACCCAGAATTTGCACAAACCTGTTAAAAATAAGCACTGAGTTTTGTTTCAATTGTTCCTTTGCATATCTCAACTCATTGCTGCTAGTTAGACCCTCAGATCCCATCATCTTCTGCATCTTTGTGATCTCTCTAATTTGTCTGTCAGCTCAGTTTTAATCAACATATCTTGCCCTGCCTAAGTAATGCTTCTGCATCTTTTGCTGTTGACACCTTTAAATTATTTGCAGGCTGTTATCTTGCCCTCCCTCCCTTCCCCTGTCTCTCCCATTTGCCAAGGTTCATAGACTTAGCTCTGTAATTCCACTGTCTTGCAAAGACTTGTATGCTCTAGGCCAGTGATTCTCAGCCAGGATGCGGTGGCTCCCTGGGGTGCCACATGATCTTTTGAAAGATGCCACAGGGTGCCGTGCAATATTAGCACTGTGCAGACACCTACACATGATTCACAAGATAAGCCCAGACATTTCAGAAAGAAGTCTACAGTATCACAAGCATTCTGACCAGATGTTGTGGCCTTTTTGAGTTATTTGCAAAAAAACTAATTGCTCTATTATTTTTTGTAGTAAAAAAAACCAAGTGAAAGGTAAGAGCTGGCATTATCTGAGGGGAGTTTTGAGTCTTGTGTGTATAGAGCTATCTATATGCAAGGACTAACATTTTAATCTTCCAGTATAATTAAGTTCTTTCAGTCCTCAAATCATTTATCTCCCAGACTTTCTTTTTATTTGTCACTAACTTCCTCTGAATAACCTGGGTATAATATAGAAACCAGCAATAAGGATGAGTCAAACAGTGTCACTTGTAACTTCTGTCTGTCAGTGACATGGAGAGTTGCACCTCTTTTGGCATCTGCTAGGTCAGTAGCGGGGTTAAGTAACTTCTAATAAATTGTACAGCTTTTACTTTGCATTTCCAGAAAAAGCCATACAAACAGAAATTTGGTAAGCAATTCTGTTGTGGGTTTTTGTTTGGGTTTTTTAAAGTTTTTTTGTGGGGAGGGTGGGATTTGTTGCTTAACGTCTGCACAAGGGAAGGCCGTGGGATCAGTTTCCAAGATCAGTTGAGACCTTCATAGCTGGTTTTCAGTTAGCAGATTTAAGATAAAACAACATTAGCTTCATATTCATTGAACTAAGAGGAGCAGAAGTGCACCATCTACTGTTGCTATTTCATACCACACCTATGCTCCCAAGTAAATGCATTGAAACTCTGTACACAAAACATTATGCATCCTGTTTTAAAAATCCTCACACAGCCTGTCTTGAGGAAAGTGCAGTACGGTGGTTCATTTGTCTTCAGCATGAAAAGCTGTATATTTTTTTGTACTATTCTGCCTTTTGGATGTTTCTGAGTGTAAGTGGCCATAGGGTGTTACAGACCTGAGAACTGTGTAGACAAAAGAAACTAAAATACATGGAGGGGAAAAGCATAAAGACATGGCACATTTCCTCTGTGCTGTAAAACAGAATCAGCTGTAAAGGAATGAGCCCTGGCTTTATTATATAGCAAATCACCTCACCTCACCCTCAGTTACCCTGTGTCTAACAGGGATAATAATGCATGCCTGTCTACTCAACTCACAAAGGAGCTGTGAGAACTAGTGAACTGTATTTGCACAGTACTTTGAAAATACAGTCATATAAGCTAAGTATTACTGTGAAGGATGGTTCATTGGAGATGGGAGCAGATGGGTTTGGACTACGGCTCTGGGTTTAATTCCTAGCTCAGATGACCTTGGGAAACTTTTAAAGTCAGAGTATCTGCTGACTTAAGTTATACATAAGTACACAGGTACATGGAGAGAGCATTCCATCATCACATGTTTAATAATGAGGAAAGGTTGCAAATAAAGTTTCAAGTGCGACTTTTCCTGTGTATATATGTCACACTGTAGTCTTCAGTTATCTTAAGTGAGAACAGAATCAGGGCCAGGAACAGTTGTTACCTTGTGTAAGAACAGATTCAGTGGTATTTTTCAGTGGCGCTGTCCTCCTCCAGGGATGTAAAACTAACCAGTGCCCAACTTAACTGACATTAATTTGAGATTGGCCAGTGACCTATTTCTTGTCTGCCTTTTGTCACTGCAGTGGCACAAAATAACTGAAGCGCATCAAGCAATCTGCCTTATGTTTTGGGGGACTGACTATCATCCATATTCTGTCCTTGGATATTTGTAAGACTCCCCCAAGCATATCAGGCAGCAGAATCCCTTTCTAAATGTTAAAACAAAGACTACAATACCAATGCCAGTACTCTGCTGGCAACATAAATAAATCACAAGGTAGTAGCGCTTTGTTTAAATTAGTGTATTGGATTATAAAAAATTATTCTCATCTCATCTCATGCTGGTATATAGCAGGAGTTACAGTAATGAAGCCATTATTGCCTCGCATATTTAATAGTGAGGATGATTAATTGTTGGAACAAATTACGTGAAGGAGATGGTGAAGTCTTCATCTCTTGTTGTCTTCAAATCCAGGCCAGATAGATGCCTTTCTGGAAGATCTACTTTGGTCAAATGCAAATCATTGGGCTGACTATGGAGGCAAGTGAGTGAATTTTGCAGCCCACTTAATGCAAATGACATGATCTAATAGTCTTCTGGCCTTAAAATCTATGTTACCCGTGTAAGTTTGTAGGAACTATGATCAGAATTCAGTCTGGTGTGTCTTTAGAGTACGGACACACAAACAAGCTAGTGCTGAAGTAAGCTGGAGGATGAACTTACTACCTTCCCATGTGCATGTTCTTACCCCATGGGAAATGTGACATAGGATACTTCATTTTTGTTGAAGCATTCAAATCTTAATCTCCCTTGCAGTAACTTGTTTTTGTGTCCATGCCCTTAAACATTATTTTGCTGTTTAACCAGAATACAATGACACTTTTTATTCTTGACAGGAAAACTGTTGGCGTTTTCTGTTGTGGACCAAAAGAAATTTCCAAGACACTGCACAAACTGAGCAACAGGCACAACTCTTATGGGACAAGGTTTGAATATAATAAAGAATCTTTCAGCTGAAAGTCTGTTGGATTAACAGAACTCTATAGAAGAAGCAAGTGCAATTCTTTGTTTGTAAGACATAAGTCAGCTGTGTATTAAGCAGATGCCATGTACCAAAGTTTTCTTATTTATGATTATTTAAAAGGCTGAAGTATGGTGGACGCAGCAAAATACGAAGCCAAATCATGCCAAATTTTTACGCTCAAAGCCAAAAAGGTTCAGAGAATATTTGTTGTTTTGCTGGTGGTGATTCATTTTGTAATGCTTAACTTAATAGTAATAAAAAGGAGAACCCTGGTTGCTTTCATGGCTGTTTGAAGAACAATGTCTGAACTCTCTACTTCAGCCTGCTAACCTCAATCACCTGAAATCAGAGTTAGTTGACTAAAAACCAGCTTGATCATAATTAAAAATGTGCTGTTAAATCAGATTATAACCTTTACTTACATAGAAACCAGATGGCTTTGAAATGGAGAATGTAGCAGCGCGGGGTCCTAGGGGTGGCCATGATCTCCCCTAGCGCCCCCTACTGTGCCAATGTGATATTAAGAGCACCCTCACATCTCGCCCGCCACGTCTTTGGTGTCAACTATATATAAGGGAGGCTGCCTTTTGTCCCTCCTGACACGGTGCTCTGATGTATCTCGGTCCCGGTTCTATTTTGGGTGACTCAGTGCACCCCAGCCTTATGGGCTATGCGTGGCTCCAACCATCCCTGTACCACGCCCCAAGCCTCGCAGATGTACCGGATGTTGTTTGGTCAATTTCACTCTTCGCGACCCACGGACGCTTCTGGCTTGCCTCGCAACCGTGTTCTCTGGCACTCGTCAATCTCTGCCCCCTTTCTGGGGCTTCTCATACTGCCCGCTCTGGGGCCTTGGGGCTCAGGTGGCCGTAGCCATGCCTGCCCCCCCAGATCTCCTCCTCAGGTCTTAAAACCTCCTATAGGGCACAGGTGGCCTTGGCCTTACCTGCCCCCCCCAATCCTCTGCTCCCCTTCTCAGGGCTGGGGTCAGTGCACCCCTGAATGTTGTGCCCGCTCTGGCACCGGGGTCTCCACGCTACCGTGGAGCCCCTATGAGGCCTCCTCCAACCCCTAAGAGCCTCACCGGGTCCTCCGGTGTAACAACAACAAAAACAATAACACAAGCCCCTGGCTATAACACAAAGCTAAACCTCATGGCTAAATGTTCTCCAAACCACACCACATCTCTCACCTGTGTAACTAGTGGCTTATACATCCAGGCCTTTTTCTCTTTCCCACATTCAGGGCCGATCTCTTTCCCTTAGTCAGGCAGTACTTCTTCCTGGCTGGCAGTAGAAAGAGCACTCACAGCCTCCAGTCTGGGTCTTATAGTAGTCAGCCCTGCCCCTTCCGGTCAGCTGACTCACCAGGTGTGGGCCCTTAGCTCCTCCTGGTTGCCTCTAGCAACCAGCACCTGAGCCAATACTGATGCTTTTCAAGGAGCAGGCACCTTACTGACCTGCCACAGAGAAGTCCAGGCAAAAATGTTAGAGGATTTCAGGTTTGGAGGCTGTAGTTAAATTATATCAAGTTACTCTCTCTAACCTACCTGTGCAACGGAAAGCGATGTCCCCATCTGGCAGAGGCATTTATGGAAGACCCTTCTCCACTTCCAACTTTCAGAATGTGTGTGTGACTCTAGTGAACATGTGGGCCAGGTCCTCTGATGGTGTAAATTAGGTCACATATTGGCTAGCAGCCAGGTGTAGAGAGGAAAATTGTACAACTTACACTGAAGTAGCATTTAGCAAGTGTGCAAAATGAGTGCACCCCATGCAGCTAGAGGGAGATGGAGCAAGAAATTAGGGAGTGTCTGCTGTAACAGTCGATTGGCAAGGAACTTGGATTCCTGTTGTTCATGTGTTCAATGGCAAATGAGCTCAAGTCACACTGTTTAGATGCCTTTGCTGATGAATTTACACCCCAATGGTTCAACATCTGTTTTCCAGTACTCCGTGGTGACTCCACTGATTTCCACCTTCAGTTGAGCTGACTAGAGTTATATGCTGGATTTTGCAGTTGTAACGGAGAGTAGAGCTTGGTCAGATGTCATTCCCAAAGACATATTTCCATACTTCTTTAATGACACAGCAGGAATTAGTCTTCATTGCCTCTGTATCAGATGTTGACAGAAACTTTGCCCCAGCATGGTGTTACTGCTTTCCCAGTTTCCAGGTTCCTCATCTAAGGAAGATATAAAAGAGCATCCAGATCCTCAGCTGACATAAATTGGCAGAGAACCACTGACTCCCATAGAGCTATTTTGATGTAAATATATACAACCTGGCCTATAATCTTCACCAAAAGCTGAAGAGCATCACTTCTACAGTCCACTCCCACCACAGACAGTGAAGCAAGAGGATCTCAGCATTGCTCACATGACTGTGGCTCCCTGATTCATTAGCACATTGCATTTTGAGTGAGTTTATGGTTCTCAGATCCCCTTTGTTTAACACCAAGACTATTTAATTTTCAGCTTACAGCAGAGACACAACACTGGTGTCTTTTGATATCAATGTCAACATTACAGAGCCAGAAGACTGGAAGAAGGCCAATGTGGTCCCCATTTTCAAAAAAGGGAGGAGGGAGGACCTGGGCAAATATAGGCCTGTTAGTCTTACTTCGATCCTGGGGAAGCTCTTTGAGAAAATTATCCAGGAGCACATCTGCGAGGGACCAGCAGAGGGGATGACATTAAAGGGCAACCAGCATGGGTTCATTAGGGGCAGGTCCTGTCAAACCAACCTGATTGCCTTCTACGATCAGGTCACAAAATCATTGGATGCAGGTGTCGTGGTGGATTCTGGACTTCAGGAAGGCTTTTGACACTGTCTCCCACCCCATTCTCATTAAAAAGCTACATGACTGTGGCATTGATGCCTACACAGTCAGATGGGTTGCAAATTGGCTGAGGGGCTGCACCCAGAGAGTGGTGGTGGATGGGTCATATTTGACCTGGAGGGAGGTGGGCAGTGGGGCAGTAGATTGGAAGAAGTTAAGCACGTGAGTCCCACTGAAATTCAGTGCAAATAGGGAGCCTAAATTTTAGTTATTGATTTTAGATCTAATTCACTAAATGACTGATAGGCTTTAAGACCATAAGAGATTGTTGTCATCATATGCTCGGACCTCCTGCATGTAGTTATTCTGATGTAAACTTGAAGTAACACAGTGCTGAATCAGGCCCTTATTAATATTATTTATTTCTATTGCCATAGCATCATGTTAAAATTGCACTTATATATATCAGCAACAGACCTAGATATGAAATATTGCATAGGATTTTTTTTGGCAGTTTATGACATGATTGATATCATAACTGCATCCATTAACCACAAATGGGTAATGATCCATTTTCTATTATTTTAGGATCTTCTTCTACCCAATGTTTTAAAATCTGATTTAGGTTCTTCTAACAAAAATTTTATGGTTGCATATTTCCTCTATGATGTAGAGTCAGTCTGTTAGCATTCAGAGAGCAAATACTTTTCTAGCTAGCTCTGTATTAAAACAGACTTCATATCCTGACAGAGCTCCATTAAAAGTGATGCCTCATAATTAAAATAAAAACAGGTAATGAGCTTTCCTCATTTTCCTAATTATAGTAGAAGCTGGCACTGTTCTTATGAATTTTAAAAGGCTAGAATAAAGTTCAGGGCACTATCAGAGCAGGATACAAACAACTAGGACCCTTCTAGCTTTGGCATTGCTTTTTCAAACCTCACTTCACCCACTCATAAAATGGGCTGAATATCAACCACCCTGCCTTGGCATTGTGAGGATTAACTGATGTTTCTGAAGCACTTCAGTGATCCTGTAGTTTAAGGGTATATATAATATATATATATATATATAATATATATACCATAAATTTCCTTTGCATTATTTTGATAGCTTCATCTACACAAGATGCTGACTGCTCAGTAACAAGAGTTATTGCTCAGTAGCATCACCAAATGGCTTTTATAGTTTCATAGTTTCTAGGGTCAGAAGGGACCTGAGCAGATCATCTAGTCCGACCCCCTGCCATGGCAGGAAGAGCACTGGGGTCAAATGACCCCAGTAAGGTGGTCATCCAACCTCCTCTTAAAAACCCCCAGGGTGGGAGCCTGCACCACCTCACTTGGAAGCTGGTTCCAGACCCTAGCCGCTGAGGGCTTTTGGTGATGTACAGTAGCTTGTTACTACTGCACAGTACTAACAAGCTACTGCATCATCAGCATCTTGTGTAGATGTGGCCTGTGTTATTGAAACTCACAGTTCCTCAGGTCCACGTAACCACTACACACTGGGAGTATGAAGCATCCCCAGCGTGCTACCTTGGGAAAGCACCAAGGTTCACAGCTTGACCTTCCTTGAGCTGTGCTTTTTAAGGAGATAGAAAGCTGAGGGGTTAGTGATCATGACACTTAAATCTCACCTTATTGACTTTGGTAGCAGCAAATGTTATTGACAGACTTTCTGGAGGCAGCATTATGCAAGCATTATTCTGAGTATGCAAAATTAGCTGGCAAAACCCAATGCAGCACCCTTTCCCTGCACCCTTGGGCTAAGTGTATAGAAAATAGAAACTAAATTCCAGGAAAGTAGGTACGTGCTGGCAGCACTTAATCCCACATTTGCAGATCAACCAGCTTTACATCACTGAGCAGTTTCTGCTGTGTAACAAGCCAGTCTGTCAGGAGCTTCCCACTGTCTGGGGAGAATCCACAGCACCACTTGTTTGATATGTTACAATGCCATCAACCTCTTCCCAGCCAGTGTCTAGCACAAAAGTTCCCATGTTACATCAGTGCATTAAAAGTCTTGTTCTCAACCATAATTGAAACCAGCCCCTCTGATCTTCGGTCCCTCTCACCCAACTCCCAGGAACCCGGACATAGTGCAGCAGACTACCAGCAGGATTTACACTGGTGAGTGCTGTCAGATACAGGGTGCATATACACTTTCATTAATGTACCATAATTACAATGCACTAAGTTTAGTACCTATAATTACAGGTACTACCTTAATGAGCTGTAATTGGCACTACTGCTCATTAGCACTGGCGCAGGTTTTTTGGTGACAGTAATGTGCAGTAAACTAATTCTACTGCGTATTAGCACCAGTTTTGCCTGCCGCGCTAATGTGCTGTACCATTAGTCTATTGCACTTGAAGCATCTCATGTAGACGTGCCCAGAAAGTCCCACTCTAGCAGGAGCTGGGGTTATCTGTGCTAATAAACGTGCAGATTCCTGGTACCTAAAGTGGTGCAACTTACACTGGTTTTAG